ACATACATCTAAACTTAGTTATAAATTGCACATGGATAAAAGGCTTTACAAAACTAAAATTCACATTGATAGGAAACTTTACAAAATCTAGATCGTAGCTAGCATATGTACGCTTTACACAAAAATAAATATGATTTTCAAACTTGTTTTTTCTTTGAATTCGTTTCCAAAAATTCTTTGTATCAAGTTCTATGTATCCCTAATAAGGAGCACGCACAATAATCTAGTAATTTATGAAACTAAAAAAGTTAGAATATTTGTAGAAGAAAATCTATATAAAAATCAAAACACTCTAGGCTTGGTTTGGGAAGTAGGTTGGCTTTTTGGCTTTTTGACTTTTTTGGCTATTTTAGCCTGGGCCAAAAAGCTTGGTTTGGGAAGGGCTTTTTTGACTTTTTTAGGTTGGATGTGATGTTTTGTTTGTTATGGCTAAAATAGCCTATTTTGTTTTTTGTGGCTAAAATAACCAAAAAAACCTGAAAATCAACTTGCCAAACAGAGGCTAAAAAATGTATAAAGAATTTTGTTATTAGGAAATTAGACGTAAAAAATGTATATATACATAGATACAAAAGAATGTATATATTATCTATGTGTATATATACATAGATACAAAAATTTTGTTATTGAAACTATAAATACAAAAGAATTAGACGTAAAAAAAAATAAAAAATGTATGCATGTAAGAAAATGAATAAAAAGAGTAAATATTAAAGTTTGACATAGGTCTCCATCCATCAGAAAAGAGCATTTTGTTATTAGGAAATTAGATAAAAAATAATGAAAATAAAATAAAATTGACTTCAACTTATAATAAATGTGTATTTTTTTTTCAAATAAATTAAAAAGAAAACAACTTACGTGACAAAAAATGGTAATGTTGTCCATAATTAGAGGTTGAAGGTCAATGGTGTCTCAACCTGAAAGTGTCTGGTTATGTAAATTAGACAAAGATAACTGTAAGAAGGCAGAATGAGATTTAATAATGTAGTTAACAGCCTACTTTAAGAAGTTCATTTGTGCATGAATATGACAACTGGAGAAATTGAACTACCTAAAGGCACGATGTAAATTATGTTAGTATCAAAATGTAGTTGTAATTTATACGCATCATGTTGAAATTTGTAGAGTCTGTAGCATTTTTTGATTTTTGATAAAAACACTGAAAAAATATAAAGAAATATTATTCTTCGTAAAGAACTTTTAACAATTTTAGTAGCAAATCGGATAATAAAATATAAAAATTAATTTCAAAGAGAGGGTTACAAAGGGAAGAATAAGAGGTATGTAAAGTACAGAATAAAAAGTATGCTCGTGCGTAATGACACGATGTAGTTGAATATAAATGCAATTTATCAAAATGTAGTTGTGTTGGCTTTTTGGCTTTTCAAAGGGTATTTTTGTGAATGTGAGCGTGCCAGCAAGGATCAATCAGTCCTTACAGAAATTGTGATTGCCAACCAATTATCAGACGATTGTGTTTTAGTTCTTTTCAGCCTCAATGAAGAGGACTTTTACTGGTGGCTTGACTTAGGAGAAGTTAATAGAAATAACAGTAATATGAAGAACAATTGAAGTATTTCATAAAAATGAACACTTACAATGGTTCGAACTCAGCCTCAGAGAGGTTTACAACAGCAATCTACTTGAATCTACTTGAAGCTACTCCTATGAATCGAAGTGCAGTGCGGGTATTTAAAGTGCAGGTATTTAAAGAACAGGTATTTAAAGACTGGAAATGTAAAAGACTGGAAAAGAAAATATATGAAGTAAATGACTGATTTGTATGATCTGAGTCCGTCCTTTTTTCTGGGGGCTGCCCTACTATTTATACTCGTCAATGATGACCTTCGAACTGCACTTTGAACCGTCGAACTGGTCCTCCATAATCGCTGATCATACTTCCTTACAAGTAGCTCCATTACGCCATTACTGGCAGTTGAGCTTCCCTCTTGTAATTTGAATTTGAATATGAGTACGTTGAAGACACGTCATCTTGCATCCCGTTATTTGATCTAGTGTTACTCAGATCATGTGAGGACCAATATTTATTGCCACGTGTACGATCAGGATTAAAGGCTTGAATAACCTTCCTTTATTACCCTTACTCTGCCACGTGTCGAACTGTAACTGGCTTTTACAAAATATGTAGCCAACAAGTTGAATACAAATGTAATTTATCGAAAAAATACCAAAAACTTAAAACATTGAGAAATATAAAGAAATATTGTAAAATTATAAATTGCAAATTTATTGTGTGTGCACCAGTAAAAAAAAAAATTATATTTATGACAAAGTATGTTTTAGATGAAGTTTAATCTCGGTTTTTTTCTTTTTTCTTTTTGTGTGTGCATAAATTCCATTGAAACATTTTAACAAACATTTAATAAGTAAGGAAGATAGAATGATTATCAAATATTTTAGTAACAACCAAATGATAATAAGGGCACAACAGCCATTCAACAGAGTAACTTAATATAATAGTCCCACAAATTCCTACTAAATCAAAGTAAATGGGTTTCGTGGAACCCAACTAACTCTTCATATATGTGTGTATATACACATAGATAATATATATGTATAAGAAAAATCAACAAAACCCATAAAAACATACCCAAAATCCTACATGCATCTAGTAAAAAAACAAAGGGAAAATCCTCACAGTTTGATTTTGGGAAAAAAAAATTGTAGTTAATATATACACACACAATAACCCCCATTTGATTTGATTTGATAGAGAGTGAGACGTTGTTGGTGATGGTGGGGATGATGGGATGAAAGAAAAAAAACAAAGTATCCAAATTTGTAGGGTCACCCATAAGTTAATTAGTGATTCTATTCACAGATAAATTCAGCACTAACAAAGTATCCTAATTTCTAAAATTTTGGGCTGAGATCTAAGTACTGAAAATTGGAAAAGAAATTTTAATTCACGGTAAGGAAAAGGAATGAGAATTGATAATTATGATCAATGAGATTGCAAAAATAAAAAATTAATGAGAATGACTTTATCTTTATCCAATTGGTCATTTTTGACAATTGCTTTTTGTGTACAAAAAGCCTAAGTTCAAGTTTGATTTGTTTTTGTATAATTTATTTTTTTAATTTTGACCCATAATTTATTTGTTTAAGGTTTTAATCTTGTTCTGATTTTTTTTTTAATGCATTCTCTCAGCTAAATTAATAATGTCCACTCTTAAAAGGATGCACATCATGTTAATAAAATTTGTTTATTTATCACAAAAAAAAAGAAAAAGAAAAAAGATGCACATCATTGGACAATTATGAATTTTTATTATGAAAATTACCAATGTTTGTGGTGTGTGTTAAAGTCAATTTGTGGTAAAATTATAAATTGTAAATTTATTGTGTGTGCACTAGTAAAAAAAAAATATATATTTATGACAAAGTATGTTTTAGATGAAATTTAATCTCGGTTTTTTTTTCTTTCTTTTTTTGTGTGTGTGTAAATTCCATTGAAATATTTTAACAAACACTTGATAAGCAAGAAAGATAGAATGGTTATCAAACATTTTAATAACAACCAAACGATATTAAGAGCACAACAACCATTCAATAGAGTAACTCAATACAATAGTCCCATAAATTCTTACTAAATCAAAGTAAATGGGTTTCGTGGAACCCTACTAACTCTTTATTTATGTGTGTATATATAGATAATATATATGCATAAGAAAAATCAACAAAACCCATAAAAATACTATCAATTTAACTGAATTGAATAGGACATTGTTTTCCTATGCATTTTGTTAATTTCTTTAGACTAAGAATCAAACCATCTAATTCAAGCAACCAATCAAAATCACACACATATGCAGATGCCAAACTAATAATATAAAATTTAAGCTAACGATGCACTATTTTATGTCAATATCAATAACCTACCAATCAATAATACCAATAACAAAAAGAGATTAGATTCCACAATAAACATAGTTAAATCATTACACTTTGAAAAAAATAGAATTTGAAAATCAAATTGAAAGCAGGCTAACAAATACCAGGCCAATCATTAACACAAATAAGTCATGAATTTGAAATCTTAGTAAATAAAAACTCCAACTCAACTTCTATGAGTATAAAACAAATTAAGTCATGAATTTACCTTTTATATCTATAACTCATGCCTCAACTTGAAATTGCTTACATTGGTAAAGTTTTGAATTCCATGGAAATTGAATACAGTTGTACCAATTAAACAAAACCAAAATTTTATTTAGATTTAACTGAGATAGCGGATGGGAGTGAGTGAGAATCATTCCATTATGAATCTTCAGCCTCAAACAAAATCCAAACACACATGGGCTCAACTGGTGGTGTATGATGAGATTACAAATGTACATTAAATATTGGGGAGGGGGAAACAAATGTGAGAAAGGTTCAAATGAAAATCTCTTTGTACAATAATACAATAACAACATGCTAAAAATCCCAAAATTCCGATACTAATATACCAATAAAAGCACGAAATAACAAACCATTCACATGAAAAATATATCTAAAAATCTGAGTTT